GTACTACCGTGACTGAAAACAACAGTAAAAAATCAGCACTTTCACATTCCCGGCCATAGACAAAACCTGTAAAAGACAATCTATCTCACCTATTTTCGGGTAACTTTCAACACCAATGGAATACACTAAACTAATACATTGTCAAGACTGGTAGATAAAACACGAAAGACAGAAAAGGCAGACTTAGTAAACAAGTCAATAAACAAATATGTTGAGTGTCTGCTAACCCCCATTCTAGCATATGCTGCAGAACTCTGGACCATTATTATAAGAATGAATTGATGGCATAAAACTAAAACTGGATGTTACCCTCTGAAATATTGCAGACACTTGTTAAATGCAATATTGGATACAGAATATAATTAGGCAGACAGTTATTGCTCTCAGCCATTCGATGTAGGGAAGCTCTCTGTTATAAAAAGTATTAGAGAAAACAAACTAGAAATTACAGATTTTTTTTTTCAAACTCGTGGCTCCCCGACACGAACAACATTGCAACAATTTACAAAATAAATGACAAGAAAACAACAACAAATGTTTTTAGGCGTATGTCAAGACTATTGCGCAATGAAATGGAATGAACCAAGGACATTCAAGGTATAACATAAAGAAATTAAATTGACAGGATACATTAAAGGGCGGCAAGCAGCGCATGATCGAATTCCATGTAAAGAAACAATATATAGTATTTTACACGCGTTGTGTATGACGCTATGTGTCTCATATCGAACAGGGCGCGGTGCGACGACCACCGCCCTTTAAATTTACAAACAACAGAGAATAGATTAGTGTGAAAGATGTAATTCAAATGTTTGCTTGAAAATAATACGATAAACGAGATTGTTAAGCACCTTGTATGTTCGAAGTTATTTTGAATCCAGGTCAACTTTTTCATGAATAACTCTGTTCAGCTCAGGTCAAATTTGATCGATCTCGCCAATATATCACCTGCAAACCGCGGCACGTGAACACAATTTCACAAAACCGCCGGTTCGCCTTCATTAAGTTTAAGTGACTTGGCATGGAATGCTGTCCTATGTGAGTTACAACTTAATCACTTGTATATAAATTGGCATCCGACTGATGAATCCAGCAGGTAGCTACAGCTACGATTTAAGGGCGGCGGTCGTCGCGCAGCTCGTGTTCGAATTTCATGTTAACAGACAATGTATTTTACACGCGTTGTGCTATGAGACCCACGACGACCGCCACCCTTTAATATAATGTATCGGGAGGGGTGTGTTTACACTAACAAATTGTAAAAAAAAAAAAAAAAAAAGATATTGATCTGTAAGTTTGAAATTCTTGACGGCATTTTGAATGTGATATCTGGTTAAAGCGCTGCAGTCGTCACTCAGTGCGTGCGTGTTCGAATTCCATGTTAACAAACATTCTACACGCGTTGCATACAGGACCCATATCGGTCAGGACCGGCGCGAGGATTGTAGCATATTAATGAAGCTTACTCGGTAACATGTAGGCCTATATATTGTGATTGAAAAGTACAAGTGTGATGTCACGTCATAGTTGTACGGTTGATTCTGGATACACCTCGTCCTCTGGAGGCCTGTCTTTATTTAGAATACACGTCAAAATAACGACTACATATATCATGGGGGTCACCGGGCAAATTGAATAGGTAAACATCAATTCCCTACTTTGTGTGGGACTTAGATTTTGAACTGCTCTTACTTTCGTGATTTTTAAAGGGCGGCAGTCATCGCTCCGCGTTCTGTTCGATATAGAACTCATAGCGACGTATGCAACGCGTGTAAGGTACATCGTTCATTTACGTTAAATTCAAACACGCGCTGCGCGACTTCCACCGCCCTTTAATCTTTGTAAATTTTGTCACTTCGTGAATCCATATACGCCCGCGATAAAATAAACAACATGATTTTCATAACTAGTACTGAGTTTTATTTTCCAGAACTTACATTAATATTTTTGCATAACACCAAACCGTTGTAAAAAACTCAAAACAACGGTAAAGCAACGGTAAAGGTTTAGTTTGCCGCGCATGGCCCTCCCCGGATCAAACATACACCATTGTATTACAGGGGTATTTCTGAACAATGTACACACATTTTAACTAATATATAAATATCGTTGCATGTTGCAAATAGATGCAATTAATGTGGCCATATTCATCAAGCAGATAGAGATAGGCGGAATTTCCAAAGTAAACATATTTGAATAATCTCCCAGAATGCATTGTACCAAGTTCGGTCACGCGATGTATTGTTTGCCTGTTTTCTTTTTTGTGATCACATTCAAGTTCTGTGATTGATGGAGATGCTTACCAGCCGAAAAGAAGTGGATGTCAAAGTCATCTTTTTAGTTTTTACAGAGCTGCGTATTTAGTTCCACTTTTTTTCCAGAAGTTGTAACCAATGGGACATGTTGTTCATTAGCTAAAATAATGAACAACAACCTAGAATATACGGAAATTACATACGTGTATGCAAAAGGCAATACCAGTATTTTGGCGGGAAGATTATGGCGCCCAAAATGTTAAAGGATCTATCTCAATCGTCTGTGTATTAAGCAATAATTAAATGTAAATAATAGCAGGGTTTAAATATATATTATCACCGTAATTAATATATATATATATATATATATAATAATAAATATATTGTCAATTGTCATATAACTTCACTAATTTATCATAAATTACGCGTTACTTTTCTACTTCTTTGTCATGTTTCATCACTTCTGTTCGTTTTCCGTCAAGTTTGACTATTTCTGCCGATTTCACGCCCACCCTGAGACTCATGTTACTTCCCCCGGTGGGTCCCAACCACCGATGGGACAACGCGAGTGATTTTAGTTTCCGTCCCTTCACGATTTTCGCCGCCCCGTTTACGTCGATTTCTGAAGACGCCCTCGGGATAGGGGTTACGGTGTCATTGGCAGTGTGTTGTGGTTTTGTTCTGGTCTCATTTAGTTCTATCAAGCGACTATCCGAGTGAAAACGCGACATCGAAGGCGGTGGCATTGCAGTCCACCAGTGACCGGTGTCTTGTATCGCATTAGTTCTCGTCCTTAAACGTTCAACGCTACCGCCTCTGACAAAACTCTCAACTCCACCGAAGCTCCGCCTCCTTTCCAGAACCGGGAGCGCTCGAGTCCTCGGTAATATCATCGGACTTCCTTTCGACAGTTTTTGTTTCCTCGTTTTTTGACTAATCACGCTCTCGGAAGAAGTAGCTCCTCGTATATGACTGTCCACAACTTTGAGTTTTCGGCGTCTCCTTCTTTGACCAGTCCCGGGGCTCAAACCGTAGACTCCGATATTCTTTTCAGCGTCGCCAACTTTATGGGGTTTATCCGCCAAAATAGGGAACGCTGCACTAGGTATAGTGCTCCCCGCAAATAGAGTATCCTGAGAACGTTCATGTCCGTTGCTAAGTGATGGAGGATATTGACCCGGTTC